GGAGTTTCCCCCCCCCCCCCCCAAGTTGGCTAATCAGTCTGTTTAGTTTTACTAGGTTTAATGGTTGTTGCTAGCAGTCAGCATGCCTTTTTGCAGAAGGGCACGTGCCATTGTCCAATTTAGTGCCATGTCACCAGCACTCCCAAAATAAGGGCATTTTAAGCACATTTTGTAATGCAGAATATGCTGGCTGATGTCACGATCATAATGTTTCTAATCATGCTCGACTTTTTGCCAATATCCAAATAATTGTTGGATCCAAGATTTAATCTTCCAGAGCCATGCCTCTTGATCCAACACCCCAACGCGAGCTAAAGCTCAGATGAATGGGGATTGTTTGTGGAAAAGTTTGGACACGGGGATTGTGTCAAATAAGTTTGTTGAAAGGATGAATTGCATCACCAGATTAATGATCTTGTGGGAATGTAGTTTCTGTATATTGGGGTGGTTTAGTTTTTGCTGAGCTCTTCACTACCGGGCAGTCATTTGGTGTTCTGTCTTTCTTCCAACAGAGTCACTTAGGTAATGTCTTGGTTGACATGAAACTCATAGACATAAAAGATACTTTACCCGTTGGTTTCATTCCAATTCAAGAAACTATGGATACACGTAAGTGAAATTGGCAGCCCTTACTGTGATCAGAGCCTCTCTAGATTCAACCAGGGAGAGGATCTGGTGACACTCCAGCTATGGATTGAGTTGAATTTTATCTGCATCCCTGCTGTTGGGTTACAGTTTAAGATCAGGATGTCAACATCCAGATTAGACAAGAGAAGGGGAGGGAAGAGGTTAAAGAGTGAGGTTCTAAGGAGAAAAAAAGCTAAAAAAATGCTAAACTATAGAACACCTTGGTCAACAACTAACCATCAGGATCTGGTGCCTTCTGAGAAGTTTTGGACTGCAATTCCCATTCCACATAATATCCTAGGGATCATCCTAGCTGGAACCAATGTGAGCAGTTGTCCAATGTAGCTGGATAGCCAAGTTGCACGCTCCTCCCCACCTCGCCAAGGTAGCATTTTTCTTTAGGGTTGGCACAGTACACAAAGAACCAATTGGCACTTCCCAACTGCAAAAGTTAAAACTGCAAGTTTTAAAAGATCAGATATTCATGTCTCTGCATGATCCAGTGGTGGGCGTTCATTACAGCTTGACCAGGAGGTTTGGAGATGGAAAGGCCCTTGGGGGTGGGAAGGAGAAACTGGAAAAATTCAGAGCAATCTTTGTTAATTTTCTCTTCCTTTTCTGTGTGTGTTTCTCCTCTCCGCTAAGCCTTCAACTTCTTGTAAGCAGAAGTGTAAGCTTTTAAACAACATTGTGTTTTTCAGAAGAAACAGCTTTCCGGAAAAAGAGGTTGTGTATTAAATTTATTCCACGGGATTCCACGGAGGCTGCCATTTGTGACATCCGCATCCTGGGCCGAGGCAAACAGACTCCTCCACAGTATACATATATCGGGTATGGAGATGTTTCATTTTTCTCTGAAATCAGGACTTTTTACTCAGCTTTTTCAGACAAGGCCAGGTTTCTCCTCCTGGGGGACCTCTGGCTCATTTCTAAACCAGTCCTAGGGGTCTTCGTTGTATGTTCTACCAACTCAGTGAAACTCACAGTTTTCTCTCTTTGCTGAAAAGGGAATTGAACAACATGGGTATCTGGTATCGGATGGGGAAGGTCCCTCGAAATCACGAGTCGTCTCAGCCCACCACACCTTCTCCACAGGCACCGGCCACAACACCAGCTGCTAACCTTCCAAGGTGAGATGTTGGCTTTTAATTCTTCCTTGCCGGTGATGGTTTCCAGATGAAGACAATGGCCTTTTCAAACAGGGTCTTCTCAAGCATTGGCAGTTGCCTGAAGTCAAAAAGATTCTTTATGAAGCACAATCCCTTGAGTTCCTAAGTTCTTTAGTTCAAAAACATCCAGTTTCAAGCTCCTCTCCCAAACTTCTTACCCTCCTGTTCTACATCTAGCCTATTCATCATCTGTCCATGTCTGTACACACATTCCTTTCTTAGCCCTAGTAACAGGTATGAAATTATACTTAACTTTTTTTTTTTGTATGGGCAGTATCAACCAATGATACACATACTGGGAAATTGAAGAGAGGAGTTGTATTGTCCTACGTGACATGGAGGGAAATGTTCAGGCTCCATTACTGTGGCAGATTCCTCCTCCTCCTCCTCTTCCTCCTGGCTCCATTACTATGGCAGATTCTCCTTTTCCTTCTCAGCTCCATTACTGTGGCCTCCTCCTCCTCTTCCTCCTCCTCCTCCTCCTCCTCCTCCTCTTCCTTTTCCCCTTTTGCCCCACCCCCTACACTTCCTCCACCTCACCCCCAGCTTCATTCTTCAACTCTTAAGCAGGAGAGATGATGGTGAATGATTTATTGGTAGGGGAAGAGAATAAGTTAGGCTCGCTACGACATTTGTATTCAGATCACATTGAATTGTAGATGAGCAGTGGAACCAAAAGGTTTGGCAGCTCCCATTTTGTCTAGAGGTAACAAGAAGGTGTATTAGATCATTCGTGTTTGTCATCTGTTTACCCTGGTCTCTGAGGCTGTTTTTCCGGTTAAAGGAGAGAGGGGGGAGAGAGGAGGAATACACCCCCCCCACACACACACAGGTTACTTCCCTTCTTTCTCTTAGATAAACCCCTTTCCTTCCTGTCATTTTAATGCTGACGGGGAAAGGGACACGTTGCTGGCTTTCTGCAATGCTGGTGGGGAGAATTAATTGGCATTTGCTCATATTAATGAGCTCTCCCTGCCCCCCCCCCGCCCAGTATTCCACCATTAGAGATTCTCTCAAAGTCCTAGTAATTAATTGTTAATATCTTTCAGTGGTAACTTTCCATACTACCCTGAGTAGCACAGTAGGGAATAGCAGGCTGCCGACCTGCCGCGCATTCAAATTGGCACGGGGCACTTACTGTTTCCTTTGCCCACCCCCGTCAGGCAGCGTACGGCGGGTGGAGTTGTGAACGTGTCATGCATCGCCGGTGCATTCGGCAAGTGTGTCAAAACACAACTTCAATTAATTTCCTCTAATTATGGCTCCAGAGAGACTGGCACTTTATTGTTCCTCATTAAAAGACATTGCCTTCCTTTTTCTTTTCTTTTCCTTTTTTTTAATATCTGCTTTTTTTTTCCTTTTCTTTTTTTGGCCTCTCCCCAAAATCCCCCATCCTCCTACGGATGACCGTGCCACCGGCGCAGCGAGAAACGGAGAAAGTGCTAAGACCAGAAGGGAAGGGAAAGGAGGAAAGTTGGGGCGTGCCTTGCTAAGGATAGGTCCAAGAGAGGGTTAAAAATAGCCAGCAATGATGAAAAAAGTTTGGGGGCTTTGTGTGTGTGCGTGGGTACCTTTCACCGTAACTTTTGGTTTTTACAAAATTAAAACAATGAGCAATCAAACCACATGCTACTAATCTTTTTGGAGTCGATGGGCCTTAAAAATCCAATAAATAAAGAAATAATCGTCCACTGCTCACATAAAGTGGAACCTCGGGTTACGAACGCTTCCGTTAATGAACTTTTCGGGTTACGACCAGCTCCGGCCGCAAAATTTTGCCTCGGTTTGCAAACTCCGCCTCGGGGCACGAACAGGATATGCGGCCATTTTCCCTCCCGTGACATGGTCCACGGCCATTTTTCCGCCCCTGACACGTGATCCGCGGCCATTTTCCACCCGACACGTGGTCCGCGGCCATTTTCCGCCCCTGACACGTGATCCGCGGCCATTTTCCACCCGACACGTGGTCCGCGGCCATTTTCCGCCCCTGACACGTGATCCGCGGCCATTTTCCACCCGACACGTGGTCCGCGGCCATTTTCCGCCCCTGACACGTGATCCGCGGCCATTTTCCACCCGACACGTGGTCCGCGGCCATTTTCCGCCCCTGACACGTGGTCGTAGGGAGGGGGACTTTCCCTCCAAGAAATAGCCGCCTCCCTGTCCTCCACACCAGAACGGATTAACGGTAATTACATTGAACCTTATGGGGAAATTTGCTTCGGGTTGCAACCAATTTGGGATGCGACCAGAGTCACGGAACGAATTAAGTTTGTAACCCGAGGTTCCACTGTACTAGTAATGCACCAAAATCCTACTAGTAGTAAGATCCTACTCCTAATAGACCACTAAGCCCTTGTTGCTAACCATATACAACGATTGTACTGATAATGATAGCAGGAGAGCCATACAGTGAAAAAATCCACAAGAATAAAAGGAATCTCTGATGACTAAAAGCCCTGCTGTTAGCAATATGGTACAGCTAATGTACTAATCCTAATACGATTAATAATCATCAACCAGATAAAAGCAAAATATTCAAAGTTTATGGACGCTTAAAAAGTGAGTTGGAAAAAAGCTCCCCCTGGTGTTGAAAATTCCTGTTAATATACCCCTGGAACTAACGACGGATTACTATGAAAGTAAGCAATTTAGTAAGAATAAAGTATTAGATAAGTTCATCGCCTTGAGAGAGATAGACAGACAGACACACAGACACACACACAGACACACACACAAATATAAATATAAATAAAAGGGATAAAAATATAATCAATTTTAGAATTGTTCGCCACCCAGAGTCACTTGGTTGATATGGACAGCTACCAAAAATAAACAAATAAATAAAATAATCATCATCATAAATCACCTAATTAAAAAATGCTTTCATGTGTCTAAAGATAGGGTCATGACACAGAGAGTTCCCTTGGTGCTGAAAACTCCTTTTAAAATGGTGTACCTATTATACTATTTTAAAATGGTTTAAAATAGTGTATTATTACGACTCCTATACTAGAAAACCAGCAGTTGAAAGCAGAGAGTTCAGAAGATTTTAAAGGACCTAAATATAATGAAAAGCTGAAAAAAAATCACAGGGGTTTTGCTTGGCAGTTAAGCAGGCAAATCACGTGTTTTCAGATTTAACAGACATTTCTCCCAAGCGGTCTGTTAAATCAGAGTTTGGCTGTGTGACACATTCCACCGTTATAGTGACTGTCATCCATTCAAGTTTGAGGTTACTTTTCCCCAGCTTGGATTTGAATTCACAAGGAGTTGAGCTGGACTCAGGATCTTGACCTGTAAAACTGGGGTTACTTGTCTTCATCTGCCCATTTTATTCCTCCACTGAAGTACAGAACAGTTCTGGCCCCGCATGGGTTCGAAATAACCCATCCCTGCCAACCTTTTCGCATCGCGTTGCATTGGAATTAGTCATAATGGGAGGCTGTTTAGCGACAGCTTGAATTGGAGGAAATTTCTGGTTTCAAATGGTGCCATCTCCCCTCCAGCCCATACACCGGCCCCTCCCTTACCCAGCTCTCTATTTTTAATATATAATTTGATGAAGAACTTCACCCTAATTACATATTCAAATGCAACGCCTGTGTCAATATGGTTCCCCGCTGCTTGAAATCATGATTAATTATATTCCAAACTCCAGCGGCCTCTGTTCATCTCGGCTCGGTTATTGTTTCCCAGTTGTTTCTCCATCTTGCTCGCCATTTCTTTCTCTCTTCCCTCTTCCCCACTTTTGTTCGGGGGCTGTTTTTTTTTAATGCGCATGTGTGAATATGAGTTTCAGAATTGAAACTAGTAATTGATTTGCCATATGCTGCCAAGCTGTTTGCGTTTAACTTGAGATTGTATTATTCCTTCCCCTCCCACATTTATGTACATGTACAACGGGGGGGGGGGAGTTTCTTATTTATAGTCTGGAATGACAATAAAATGTGGGTTTTTTATGTACTATCAGGAAATCTAGTTCTGGTTTTGGCTGTCAGGGGTAATAAATTTAGTAGCCGTATCTGGCTGAATGCTTACATTTGTATAAAGTCAATTCATGCCAGCAATTAGGGCAGATTTAAGTTTATGATAAAGGCAAGGCGTCTTCAAGTTAAGCTCTTGATAACCATACGGACATCACTTCGCCAGTGCTACCATACAAACCATGTTTTCAAAGTGGTCCCAATCCAAATACTAACCAGATTGGACTCTGATTAGTTTTTGAGGGATCAGCCAAGATCAGCTGTGCATTGATACCTACCATGGCATGCATAGAGACCCTCTGAAAAAGCAAAGAGGTTGTGGGTGCAAACCCATGCAGTGATGCCAAAGATATTGCGGATTAACATTACGATGAAACCAGAACTATTTCTACTGGGTCTTGTGGACATGGAACCAGAAAAGAAAGATGGGAAATTAATATTGTATATGGTAAGTGTGGCAAGATGATTGTATGCATAAAGATGGAAGAATAATAAATACCCACAGTAAAAGATGATACTATAAAATTGACAGAGCTTGTGGAAATGGCAAAGCTGACCAGCTTGGTCAGGGGAAAAAATGGTGAAGATTTTTTTGAAAGGCTGGATTTTTTTGTTGAAAGAAGAAAAGACTGAATAATGATTTATGGATGTGGGGTTTAAAAGGGTTAAAGAGGAAGGGAAAAGAATAAGATGGCAATTACTTGATGGAATGAAGGGCGGAAGTCAGAATTCTATGTTTTCTTTATTTTTTATTTCTTTATTTTTTCATTTTTTTTTCTTTCTTTTTCTTCTCTTCCTTTTCTTTTAATTCGTGCCCCTCCATGGCTGATTCCAGGCAATAGCCACACCATTCTGATGGTGGTCCAAAGCTTTCCAAAGGAAACTTTCTGGAACACTTCTGATTTTGAAGACTTTCTTCTGGAAAGCTTTTGGATGGTCCCATCAGCGTAATCTGGGAAAAAATAGAATGATCCAATGTCCTCTGGAAGACCTTTTGGAGATCACTAATGTTCCAAGTCCTCCCACCTGGATGGATCTGTTTTCAAAATGGCCTAAATACAGAAAATGAATGGATCCTGATGGATCTCTCCAAGAAAAGTGTTCCATCAAGAGAAAGCCAACTTCTGTATACCCACCATGGGCGAGAAGATCTTTTGAAACCCATCTCAGACATGAGAATCCCTATCTCCTTAATTTTGGGTTGAACATCATCATTCTTGAAGTTTAAGTGTGCTCTTTGGTGTCTTCTCTCTAGGCATATATCGTTGACACTTCCGGCCAGCTTCCGAGGGAAAGGACATGGCACTCGGCCAGATTTTGAGTATCAGCACTCCAATTTATATGCGATTTCAGGTAAGCGATAGATTTCCTTGCTTACTAGAGATGTTCTCAGTATAGCTCTTTCACTTTGGGCCATAAACAACTGAACTTCCTTCACAACAACAGTAATTCCATGATTTCTGCTAGGACAAAGGAGAAAAACAAAGTCTGTTTTCCTTCCTTCCTTCCTTCCTTCCTTCCTTCC